TTGTGGTATTTAGGTAATGATCAGTTGTTGTGTGAATCTCATGGTCTTTGAGGAGAACCTGCAACTTGAATAGCCCAAAGCAAATGTTCAAATTTGCTAGGAACAGCTGCTGTTTTTAAAGGCTGTTTCATGCCTTTACTTCTCTGACCACTGCTAGTAAATGCCACATGTTCTGGTATGAGGATTTTCATATTTCCCTTTCACTTCTGTGTTGCCTCACTTCTTGAAGTGTAGCAATTCCAAGTTTACTGCAGATGGTTCTGCCCACAACAGCAGATTACAAACACATCCGTGATATGAGAGGAATGTCATTATTCACTGTTTTGTTAATAGCGTCTTGCCTTCTAGGTTCTTAGAGTGCTTCAAAAACTTCAGGCAAACTCTTGAGTCTCCTTGTTTTGTTTGTTGCTTTTATTCAAGTGCAGGAAAAACTGAGGCTCTACTGGCTTGCTTTGCAGATGCTACAGTAGCTGGTCCATGCCTGTTGGTCTAACTGTGTACAGAGCATTTGCAGGTCTAGCTATAGTTATTAGAAGAGACCTGCTTTCTGAGAAATGATGGAAAAGCTATCTGGTGCCTGAGGCAAAAAACACTTGCTGGGATGACAGCCCCATCCTGTCATAGTAAATCAAGACTGTAAATCAATATATGATAGTAAATAAATTTGTTGCTGTCATAGTAAATCAAGACTCTAACCCACAGCAACAGTAGAGCCTCCTCTGAAATCCATTTTACAAGGAATTTTGTAGGATTCATACAAAGTATTCCCTCCTTCACCCTATCTTGTACCATCTTGAAATGGTCCCTGTCCTTATGCAGGGCCAGGACTCCTGAGGTCAAGGGCAGACCAGGGAGCCATGGTTGCTGCCTAATCTTTTAAATGCCAGATCCATGCCTGCTTCTGGTGTGGTTTGCCACCCGACAGCAGCTGACACATCACACCATCTCTGATCCACCCCGAGATTTGGGAGCTGTGGTGGAGCCCTGTCTCCTACCCTGGTAAATCTGCTCCATTAATAGCTATCAAAGAGCCTGAAGTTTCCATCCGAACTTTATCTGGCTTTGCAGTGAGCTGGAGGATTAAAAACTGTCGCAGGGGAAGGGAGGGAGCAGCCGTGGCTCACCCGGAATAGCCTGACCTATGACGGCACGTACCAGCCTGGGGAGGGGAGCTGTCCTGTGAGCTCACGGGTTATTAGCAGTGAGCACAGACATGTCTGCAGTCAGCAGCACACCCAGGGCCAGCTGCTCCATCCCTGCCTGCTGCAGGGAGTCCAGGGGATTTGGTAGTACAACTTGCCAGCACAGCTCTTTGATGGGGGAGCTGGGAGGAGGCTTGAGGGCCAGCGTTGTGGCGCCAGCCCTCTGTGCTGCTCAGAGGACTTTGGGTTTGACCTCTGGGCTGGTGTGTGGGGCAGATCTGGTTATGAGGGAGAGCATTGTGAGGAGATAACCACTGTCCTGCTGCAGCTCAGGGCTGTTGTCTCTCTGCTGCATCACAGCAGGTAAAAAGAGGGATCATTGTGTGGCTAGGGCTTGTCTGTAGGACCAGCAGACATGGGGCACAAGCTTTCATCTACCACATGGGGAGTAAAAACTGAAATACATGAAATTGAAATACACAGAAAAGCCTTTTGCCAAAAGTAGCTAAACAAAAACATGAAGTTATATCAAACGATGTATTAGTGCTTGTTAGTTTTCCTTGCTTGCTTTTGCAGTGCAAAGATGCCTGTAAATCAACCAAAAACAAATGTTTAAGTTGCTTTAGCCAAATCAGCAAGCTCAAACACCATATATTTAATCAATTCAAGCCCAGACAAACCCCTTTTTGACCCTGAAAAACATTTATAAGGTATTGTAACCAAGAAATAGGTTAGCTTCTAATGGATAGCATTGAATGTAGCATTTTAAAAATCTCACCCTTCCATGAGACTGCAAATGCAGTAAATTCTTTTAAAGCACCTCTCAGTTGCCCCATCTCTGTAGAGCTAGGATCTTCCAATAGTGTAGGAAGCAAGAACGGGTTTGGTTTTTTTTTGTGTAGCCAGGGATTGACTTCTCACAACCTTTCTCTTGTACCTGGTTTTGTTTTCCTTGCTTTATTTCTCTGCAGGCATCTCCAGTTCATCTGTTTCACCCACCCCTTGTCACCACTGTGGAGTCACGCAGCTTTTCTTCTTCTTCCTTATTAAGAGCTTCTCCTTACCTGAGCAGGCTCCTGTTACAGCAGGAACTTTTTCCTTAGAGACAGGCTGGGAGTTGGAGCCCTTTGCAGTGCCCAGTGTTCTGCAGGAATTGTGCAGAGCATCTCAGCGCAGTGGAACAAGATTTTCCCAGCTGGCCAAATGTTCCCAGACTAAGTGTGCATGTTCCCCAAGGGGCAGTAGAATTGGAAATTAACTCCTTGGATATGATGGAAACAGGCAAGTGTCTCCCTAATGAATAGTCTGTGAGTGCTGCTCAGTGTTTTACACCAGGAAGCACTGAGGCTGTTCTAAACCTTTGACCCTGGTGACATACTCCAGATTCCTCCCAGTTAAATGCTCCCCTCCCCTCCAGGCATGAAAGCATCACATCTTTTGACTAGCCAGACAGATGCATTGCCCTGTAAAAATCTCCTTTGTATCCCCAGTAATTGTATTCATCTGCACATTGATAACATGATTTTGTTTTTGAATTCACAGCTTGCATGCTTTATTGTTATCAGTGATGGGTGCTGTTAGTGTGCCTGCTCTTGGAACACCTAGAAAGTCATCCAGCAGGTGGGAAATCCCTGCTCCATAGATGTGACAGCCTAGGGGAGTGCAGCTGAACAATATCTGGAGGAGTTGCCCATAACACTTGATGAGAAAGATGAGGCCATACTGAATCCTTCTCTCCTGCTGGCATGGCAGAGGAATGTGTAACCTCAGCAGCAGTGTTGGGATGTGCCCTTTGCTAGAGTGGATGGGCACAGGAGACACCAGGGCCTGGTGTACAGGACTCCACCAGCACAAACAACATTGCCCCTTCTCTCTCCAGCAAGCTCTTATGTGCCAAGGGGTTGTGAGGAAGAAGGGAATATTCATGCTGTCTATGTCCTGCTGTGTAGACAGATTTACCAAGAACATCAGGCATTTGTAGCTGCAGCGTTTGTTGCTGGCATTTGAGCTGTAGAAAGTTGTACTTAAAATTCTGGTGGTTCTTGGTGACAGAGATGGCACTTTTTGTCTGTATGTCCTTTTCCTTCCTTTTGCTGACACTGGAATATCTCAGCAATTTATGGAGGTGAAGAAAAGCTGTTGAACAGAGGGAGAATGAAAAACAGTGATTCTCTCCTAGACATTTAATCCCAGCTGAAATAAGGGGATTTAGGGGCTGGATGCTGAATGACTGCACTGATTTATCACATCTTCCACTACAGTCAGTTACTATGATCAGGGGTGAGATGGGAATATCCATTCGTGTATGGGGGAGAGAGGAACTGAGATTAGTCAAATAGGCATAACAGGTGTCCTCCACCTCAATAGTATAAAAAAACCATGAGAGTGGGCCAGTAGGAGCATGGCCAGTTGGACTAAATTGCTGTTGTAGGTCACTTCAGATTGAAAATACTCTATTCTACATCCTGTTGCATGATCCTTTTCAATTACATTTTGGGGACTAGTTATGAGAGATTGATCCCTGCCTTGCAGGGGAAAAATTCTCTGTTGTTCTCTGAGAAGATCCATGGGTAGCAAAGGCAGCTGGAGGAAACTGGTTTGGGTGACTGTCATGGCTCTCTGGCAGTTCCTCATATTCTGGGGGCAGTTACTAATGGTCTGCCTGAAGACCTGATGTCAGTAACAGGGACCTGCTTTTTTTTGCCTTAATCCCCTTCTTCCCAAAAGGGGCTGAACGTGATAGCGGGGTCTGTGGGTAAGGGGCTGTTCTGCTGTGCTCAGCAGAGCAAGGGAGACTCCAGCTTTCCAATGCTTTCTGCCTCTTGAGCAGTCGTGCCCTTTCCAGACAGGGCTGCCTCACTTTTTTATTTATTTATTTATTTATTTATTTATTTATTTATTTATTTATTTATTTATTTATTTTTGGCATGATTAGGTTTTAGTTTTGATTCAGAGAGATGATATAATCGGCCCTAACCAGTTGCAGGGTATATCCCAGTCTCCTTACAGCTGGAGTTGCTTGGGGCATGGAAATAAATAGCTGCTGCCCTCCTCCACAGATTTTCCCAGACTTCTTGTGATGAATGTACCTGCCAGCCCAGAACATGAAATGCTGTTTTGTTCTAAGCCTGGGAGCAATCCACTTAGCTGCATGGAGAGGAAACTAAGAGAGAAGGGTGATAAGAGAAGTAGTCTGATAAGGATTTTTTTACAGGCTGTGGAGAGCTGTGTTGTGCAGGAAGGTGGATGCTGACACTCTCAGAAGTGACACTTGGAGTGTCACACAGATTAGTGGTGTAAGGTCCCCAGTGGCTCTCAGCAGCCAGCTCTTGCCAAGCATGTGCATAGTGAGAAAAGGTGGAAGGAAGGTGGGACTTTCACTGCTCCAGCCACCCTCCCTCCCTGAGATCTCTGCACAGCTTTCTGTGTTTGAGAACCATCCAGCTGTTCTGGGAGCAGAACCCCACCCTGTCTGGACTAGAGACTAGTGTTAAATCAGGATAAGTGTAACTACACAACACAAGGCATATTAGGGATGTGGTTTGTGTCTTGGTGGTTCAGGAGAGAACTGGATTGCTATTGCCTTGTCTGCAAAAAGCATTAGATCAGCGAAAGACAAGCCTCAGTCATGCTTTTCAGCACAGCAGAATGTAAGAGGTCCAAGTTCTTCTTGACTCATCTGTAAACTTGTTTTCAAGCTATGATGTGTGGAAAAAGATCCTGAAAATTTTGAGCACAAGAATAAGGGTGACTTTTAAACTTTTCTTTTCTCAGCCTAAGGACCAAAAACATGCAACTATTTCTTTGTCTCTGCTTTGCTGTATCTGTGTTTGAAGTCTCCTTCTTCTCTCTCCACAGGTCCTTCAGAAGCTTGGTAAAGCAGATGAAACAAAAGATGAGCAGTTTGAACAGTGTGTGCAGAACTTCAACAAACAGCTGGTAAGATAATTTGCAACATGTAATTGCACCCTGGGTTTCAGTATTAGCTTCCAGTCATGTGCTGCAATGTGTAATTAAAGGCCATTAAGTTAAACAATGTCATAGGCCTATTGAAGTGACCCATAACTCATAACTTTTCTCTTACAAGAAATGACACTGTGACTCCAGGGTCCCTTTCATGGAATCAGTGAGAGAATCATAGAGCATGCTGAGTTGGAAGGGGCCCATCGTGATCATCAAGTCCAACTCCTGGTCCTGTGCAGGACACCCCATGAGTCACACCATGTGCCTGAGATCATTAGCATTTGGATAATCCAAATGCTTCCTGAACTCTCTGGCTGGTGCTGTGGCCACTTCCCTGGGGAGCCTGTTCCAGCACCCAGCCACTCTCTGGGTGAAAAACCTTTTCCTGATACCCAGCTTAAACTTCCCCTGCCTCAGCTTCATCCTGTTTCCTCCAGTCCTGTCGCTGGGCATGAGAGTGAAGGGATTGGTAAAAATAATACTTGTTCCAGACCCAATTTTTGAAAAACAAATAGTTCAACCAGAACACTTTCTTCAGTTAGCAGCTGCTTTGTAAAGTAATTTTTGCTCCTCCGCTGGAAGTGGGGATATAAGAGCAACATTGTGTCCCTGAAAGATGGATAGGGTGGGAAACAGAAATGAAAAAATAAAATGAAACAAGGCAGTTTCAGTTTCCTAAGCACAGTAAAGGACAGAAGAGACAAAGAAAGCAAATGGTGAGAAGGGAACATCCTTCCATGGCTAAGAGCTAAATCTGACTTCCTCCCCATACTTGCACAATCACTGTGTCAGGCCTGAGTCATTATTCTTCTGCGTGTCTGCCTCATCCCCAATATTTTAGTGCACAGAAATATTTTAACAGTGTAGCAATTTTTCCCCACCCTCCTACTTCCACAGCAGAAGGTTTTGATCTTCAGCTGGGTGTGTTTTATTTTTTATCTAGAGCCTTCAGCCTCCAAGAGGGGAAAACACCAGTTACCTTGTGGGTTTTGCTGGTGCTTGTTGTTAGGGGAAGCATTGCTTCTGTTTTGTGGCAGGAAATATGTGCCACAGCATAGCTCAGGTGGTGCTGAAGAAATCTGTTACCCTTTTGTGGCCTGACACATTTAGGACCTTTTTCTAGAGCTGTTAGTGGCAGCTGCATCATGTCTGTTGAGACTCAGCAGATGTGGTTATGTGTCGCAAAACCAGCTGAGTAGGGATTTGCCACAGCTGAATGTAATGAAAATCCTTCAGTCTGGCTTTGACTTATGTGTAACCAGAGCTGATTGCAGATTCCTGGACACTAATTCTTGTTCTCTTGGCAGCAATAGCAGCTATTGCTCCTGAAGCTCCTGCAGCATGTCTGTAGAATGTCCAGCAATGATACTCTCTTGTACATGCCAGAATACATTTTAATTGCTTTCTGACAACATGACATTACCAGATGTGATTTTTTTGGTATAATTTTTAAGCAATTAAGAAATAACCTTTTTAAAAGAGAAATACAAAAAGCCTCAAATCCAGATTTCTAGGTGTGACTGTCTGGGTTGGCTTTTTCAATTTCCAGAGCTGTGAGTTCCAGTGGTGCAGTGAGGAGCCTGTTAAAGGCTGCATCTTGTATCCCTTACATCTGAATTTTTTTCCTGTTTTATGGAGCAGACCATGAACTAAATTCCCCAAATAATTAATCAAAGAAGCTGGAGAATGCTCTGCATTTGCTACTTGGGGTGTGCTGGTTTTACTTAGGCCCTCAGTTTCCTTACTACTAAAACAAATGCAGACAATGCCTATTTTACAGGGCAAACCATGAGTGTGAGTTAGCTGGATTCTTAAGATATCCAGAGCTGAGGACTAGGGGAATAAAAAATCAGCCATATATACATATATATACACTTCTTTATATTTTTTTATGTATGAGGTGTATGTAGTATAGTTATCTTTGAGATTTCTATGACCTTTCATTACAAAGTCTGCTCCAGTGGGGAGTGGAAGCCTGGAGGAAAGCTGACCTTTTGCTGCAGGCTGGTGACAGAACATCGCTGCTCTCTTGTGGAACTGGCTAGGGTGTGAGCAGACAGTGACCTTGTTCACTGGCTGATTAGAGGTTCCTCTGACTCTAATGACTGTGTTGGACCACTTTGACACATGTTTCTCTGTATAGGCTGTTGAGGAATGTAGTCCTGGTCTAAAAATCACTTAGACATTTTCAACCAAGGTATTTATGGTTCTCTCAAATAGTGGTAGAGTGGACATAAAGGAGGGCATTGCACTTCTTAGATAACTCTCTGTCATCAGGTTCATATAAGAGCACCACTCTGAGGTCCCTGAATGGTATGAACTTGTTAGCTCATATGGATTTGCTTTGTGACAAAAGAGCTGGACACAGCCATGCAGGTTCAGGGCATGCTTATCTCCTGAAGGCTTGACAAGCAGCAGAACTGCCCCTCATTACTCCCTCATGGAGATTCTTTGGCTATTAACCTACCCAAACATCTCTTTGAAGGCTCTCTCCCCCTTCCCTTTCCCAGTGTCACTTGTGTTCAGTCATTGGCACAAGGATCTGTCCCAGATATTGTCCTTGCCAACCTGGGAGCAGGAGTCCTGCTATAAAGGTGCAACTCAGCACCTGCCTGAGGTGTGCCAGGCTTTGGCTTCTCTTGTCCTTTGCTGAAGTGCTCACTGCAGGGACAGTGTGAGGCTGGTGGCAGCTCTTACACCTGGCACCCTGTGTGCTTCTGCCTGGCAAAGCAGCTGGGTTTTGATACCAGCTGCCACTTGTGTGTAAGTTCTGGGCTGGTTTACAGCCTTTCACACCAAGCACAGGAGAGGGAAGCTGCTGCTGGCACAAGCTGCGTCCATCTCTGCCTGCACCACGCTGTGTTGGGCACAGCCCCTGCTGCAAGGCAGGCAATGGGGACTGCATCTTCCCTCTTGCAGAGCAGGTTCCCATTACAGTCAGTAGCTCAGAGAGAGGGTTTCTTCCCAGACAAGAACCCTTCACACCCAGCAGTTTCCATTTCAGCCCTAGGTGGCAAAACAAGTTTAACAGCCTCCTTGTGGTACCCCAGGGTGGAACTTCTCACCAGTTGTTCAGGCTCTGGGTCTTAACAATTCTAAAGTTTTGCTGAGTGGGGGCTTACCTGGAGCTGTAGTTTCACTGCTTCCCCTCCCTGTAATTACACAGTCTGCTCTTCTAGCCCTACATTAATCTAATCTGGAACAGGACATTACCTCCTGCCCCCTCACATGTCGAACATCCCTGCTGATAATAAAATCCTTCCCCCTAGAACTGCAGAATCAGAGAGCTTATGTAAAGGGCTTGCTGTCTAAAATTAGGATGAAATAATTCCTTTTTAAGATTGGGAGAAAAGGGTTCTAGGAAACCTGTCTGCTACCAAGAAGCAGCTCTACAGTAAAATCACATACTTAGCTAGGGCTTGGTTTCAAGATAAGAAAGCACAGAAAGATATCAAAACACTTCAGTGTTTTTCTTTCACAGAGCTGTAAGTAATGGGTGGTTCATTAGGTCTTTGGGAAGGGAGAGAGGTTTTCCAGCCTCTCGAGCATAGCACTTTTAAATATCCATCTGTACACTGTCCTTCCTGTTATACCTGGTTGTGTTATAGGCTCATGGGTCTGAATTACACTGCGATTGCAAGTATGGCAATATCTACTCAAACAAGATGACACTTGTGTGTTTAAACATCTCCATATTGAGCCATACCTCTGTAACTTCCCTCTGCACATCTTTCAGCTCTTTGATAACTGGGAAGTTGATTTGTTTTTCTGGTTCCAGTTTGACTCTTTTCCCTACTTTTTTTACCATTTGGTTTAAGAAGCATCTTTTAAATGTGCACTCAAGAGTGTTGAAAGTTTCTGTTTTGGATTGTATTTGACAGTGTCTAACTGCATTGTGAGAGGCATTTTGGAGAGAGCATTGGAACAGGCTCCCCAGAGAAGCCATCCCTGGAAGTGTTTGGGAAACACAGAGACATGGAACTGGTTTAGTGGACATGGTGATGTTCAGTAAAAGTTTGGACTTGGTGATCTTGGAGGACTTTTCCAGCCTTAATGATTCACTGATTAATGCAGAATTGTGGCAGTACTTGAGAGCTTACTATAGGCTGCTTGAAGAAAGCAGGTGCTGCATGCACAGAGAGAAAGCAATGGTCTTAAAGTTACCCCAAAATTTTATGGGAAGGCAATAATGCTTAAAATAATTAAAAAAAAAAACCTTTGTGGCAAGGGAGCTGCTTTACTGGTGGACAGGAAAAAATCAACAGAAATGCCAGAGAGGAAACTGGACAGGAACCACAGGTCGCCAGGGGAGCTGGGAAAACAGGATTCAGGGCAAAACTCTCAACACGGGTCTCTCATTGAAAATCTTTCTGCTTATAGATCTTACAGGCTATAAAGTCTGTTCACTCTCTCTGTCAGGCTCTACTTATAAGAGACTTAGGTGACTCCGTAATGACAGAGATCAGCTGTAACTGTGAGTTTAAACATCAGTAAGAGGTGACTGAGACCACTCCATCTGCAGGATGCAGCACCACATTCTGGTGAGGATGCCTGGAGAACACAGAAGGCTGGTTCTGCATTGCTGCAATTGCTTGCTCCAGTTTTCAGCCCTGACTTGTAGGTTTTTCAGGTGATCTATCTAAAAATATTGATTAGACATTTAATTGTGGCGCTGGCTTTCTGCTCAGATGATACTTTTGTCTCCATGGCTTTGGAACTGGGTATTGAGACTTGAGGAGTTCTGAGTTTGGCTTGTGTCATGTGCTGGTGTGGCAGGGTTAGGGCAAGCATGGACACAATTTTAGAGGTGGTTTCTGATTTTAAACGTGGTAGTTTTGAATGTTACTGCTCCAAACATTGCAGTGCCCAAGTGTGTAGTGGGCAAGTTCTGCAGAGGACATTCCCTGCTGATAGTTTTTGATAACCTCCAAGTTGTGAGTTCAAATTTAGTTATTAAAAATGATACAGCTGCAGGATGATAATGTATCCATTGGTGGGACTTTGCATATCTTTTTCAAAACACGAATGCAGTAAAGACACCACTGCACCTCACAGCCTGCTGTCATTCTTCCTCCTTCCCAGTTTGTGCCTCACTGAGGGGGCACCCCAGCATAATGAATTTTGACAGCTGAAGCCAACTCCAAAGACAGGGAGCTCACAGGACATCTTCAACAGGTGCCTCAGAGCTACTGACTTCAAAAGATGTTTCCCATCAGTTCTCCCCACCACTCAGGCACCTCTTGTCTCAACTGAGCTCATGCTGAGATCCTTTGTGCTCCCAGTGCAGCTGTGCTCTTTAAGCAGAGGCTAAATCTGCCCAGCTGTTGAAGTTGCAGTGATAACATAGCTTTGTGAGAAATCCATCTGCTTCCAACAGCATGGCCCAAGTTGTTTTTTATGCCTCGAAAGTTCTGGATGAGTTTGCATTTGCTCTTTTCCTACTGCCATCAGCAAAGGAAACAAGGGGTTGGAAAGAGCTGGCCGGTTTTACAAACAGTCTCCTAGTCTGGGGAAACATTGGGAACTGGCCCAAATAGAGTACAAGAGGAGAGGAATTATGAGTACATTTGCTGGAAAAGTCCTAGAAATTCCTAGAACACAGAGCAAAAAAATGCAAAAAATGTGATAGCTTGAAGTTTCATGTGATCGTAGGACTGGTGTCTAGCCCATCTTCAAGACCAGTTTTCTTTAATTGGAAATGCTTGGGGGCTTCTTACACTCTTTTTAGCTGAGAGAATAACTGATGGTCTCCTTACGTTCACAGTCCGAAGGCACGAGGCTGCAGAAGGACCTCCGAACTTACCTGGCTTCTGTCAAAGGTAGGGTCTGCACGAGCAGAGGTCTCTTCCCTCTAATGCTTACCTATGCAGTGAGGTTTCTGCAGCCTTCCCCTTCCTGGTGTTTCCCCAGGCACGAGCTGCAGGACAGGTCAGCCTTGTCTGGGGGAGGATCTTTCAGAATCCTTTGGGGCCAGCTGGGATGGAATGGGGTTGTACTTTGATGCCAAACACGTGGCGCTGTCTTAGCAGATGGACATTCATGTGTCCTTCTAGGGGAGGATGAACACAAAGGGTTGATGCAACTGCACTCATGGTTCCTTTCTCCCTCTGGTTACCTTCCATCTCTGTGTCATCAAGTGTCAGACTCAGCATCTGTTGTAATGCTCCTGTGTCTCTATTCCTCAGCAAAAGGTTTAAATGTGAGGTACACGTTATTTTCTTCTTTGTCTGAACAGTTCCCTCTTCTTTCCTAGCTATGCACGAGGCCTCCAAGAAGTTGACAGAGTGTTTGCAGGAAGTTTATGAGCCAGATTGGCCTGGGAGAGATGACACAAATAAAATAGCAGAGGTAAGGCTTTGTCTAGGGTGTGGGGATGTCCTGCTCTGCTCTGCTCTGTCAGAAGAAAGGGACTTTGGAAGCTATGTCTGCACCACATTTTTTCAGGCATATGACTTTGCAGAAGAATTGGAGACAAACTCAGCACAGTGAAGAAAGGAAGGCTGAAAGGATGTGGCCTGTATGTTTGTAGGAGATTGTTGCCAGGTGTTTGTACATTACATAGAGACATACACTTATGCCAAGAAGCTGTTTGTTCCCCCCAGAGTGGCTAAATGGGGACAGAGGATTCCAAAAGGGTAGGGCCAACTGGATGTGGTGCTTATATGCTGTGTAAGAGAAAGGGGCAGATAAGACCACAGCAAAAGCAGTCAGAGCAGCCAGTTGTGTAGCTGCACAACCCCTCATGGCAGTAGCACCAGCTGCCTTGTTTCAGTTGTTCCCTTGTTTGGCTGAGCCATGTGTCACCCCAGACTGCTGTTCTCATCCCTTGGCGAGGTGATGCCTGCCCCACTTGCCCAGGTGTTTTCTGGGGAGCTTAGGGCACAGCCTGTCATTTGGCAGTGTGGATCCCCCTTGGCATGTGCCTGTGGTGGGTCCAGCTGGAGGCAGCACCCTCTGCTCTCTTGCTCAGCTGTTCTGCTGAGCAGCAGCTGTGGCAGTTCAGCTTCTGGATTCATTTGCCATGAGGCTACAGGACTGGGCTTATCTGCAGCTGTCTGTGGCATTGGAGTAGTGGTGAAGGACTAGACAAGAGAGCAGGAGGAGGATTTTTTCCTTCCCCTTCTTTCCCCTGCAGAAAATCTCACCTGAAATAACATCTGTATCTTGCCCAGGAAATAATGACTTCAAAGCAGATAATTCAAACAAAACCTGAATGTTTCCAGGTTGATTTTTTCATTAACATGGAGACTTTGCATTAGGTAGTACTGTTGCAGTAAATAATTGAGTTGTATTTCGGCTGGTTTGGCTTCACAGTCTCTGTTGGCCTTGTTTCTTCCTGAGCCGTTGTGGTGCCTCTTGAGAGATTTACCCTTCAGAAAATTTGAGCCAGAGAGGTCAAAGGGGACATATCTTGAGAACTAGTTACTCCTTTGGGTCTGCAAGAATGTTTCCAGCTTTCCACCTCCCTCTTTAATTCCTTTTTTGTTTTGCTTGTGAAAAGATAGGTGCGAGAGAAGAGTTACTCCTGCCAAATAAAAAGCATAAAGTGGGAATTTTTCCTGAATGTTTTAGCCAAAACCCTTTGTTTAAGTGGAAAAATGGGAGAGAGGGGTAATTTTCATCTAGTCCAAGGTGTTGATAGGAAATTACTGTCGCTGAACTAAAGTTAAGGATAAAGTGGGCACAGCTCAGGGTGCAAGCCTTGGCTGTGGGCTCCATTGGGATGTGGAGGCAGGTGGTGTGAGGGCTGAAGACTGCTAGTGTAGCTTTCTGTTGTTCATGGTTCTTCAGAAAGCTGTATTATTAATATTGTAATATTTTAATATTATTGTATTGTAATGAAAAACAGAAAATGCTGCCTTGTGGTGTCAGGTGTCCCTTTTTTGTAGCTGCTGGGAGAAGGAGGCAAAACCAGCCTGACAATCATCTTCCATTGTACTGACTTGAGTTTACCATTGCAGGGGAAAGATAGGGCTTCAAAGGCATTTTGTCCTTGGAGAGGTCACCTGAATTAGCTGCATCAGGCTTTCTCATTTCTGCCAATATCTCTGTTATCATTAGTTCCAAAGAAATTACTGTTTCTTAAGTGCTCTGAGGGCCCAAGATTGTTGGTTGTAGCACTGACAGAGAAAAACAGAAATGTGGAGCCCTGTGTTCTTAATAGTTAACTCATTACTTTTGTTTTTCAGAACAATGACCTCCTATGGACGGATTTCCATCAGAAGCTGGTGGATCAAGCACTTCTGACTATGGATACGTACCTGGGCCAATTTCCAGATATTAAAGTAAGATTCTCTTTAAACTATTCGATCTAGAGAGTCACAGCAGATAAAAAGCTCTAAAGATCAATTTCTTACATCCCCATCTTCTTTAGGAGAATGTGTGCTGCCCTTCTCCAAGGTCTTCTTTGAAAGCAGCCAGATCTCTGCAGCTCTGGGTTAATTGAAAATGTTTTGTTCTATTTTTGGGCTTAAAACAAGAGTGAAGAATGCAGGGGAAAGATGATGAAGAGAAAATATAAGTGTGAAACAGGAGGATCCATGAAATTCCCTATTGCATCAGAGTGCAGGGAGGGCAGTGTCAGCAATAGCTCAGATCTCAATCTCTCTTTTTGGCCCTTTTGTCTTTTAAATTCCTTGTAAGCAGAAAACATTGAGGAGGCAGTTAGTGGCAAATGTACTAAATGAGTGGAGGCTGGTGTGGAGGGCAGATTCCTGTGAGGCTTTGAAGTCCTGCTGTGTGTGTAACCAGCCTTTTTCAGGGAAGGGAGAATGCTGGATAGGTGTCTTTTTGGGAGAGATTGTGTCCAGGGACTTGGGTATGAATGATGTCCCGTGACCTTCCCTTCCCCCACAGTTATCTCCTCTCTGTTCATTTAGAGGTTATGCAGGAAATGTCTTCACCATATGGAAGCACTAGTAATGATATCAACATATGGGAAGTATCAGCTTGGCTACTTGCCAGTGAAAGCAACCCTTTCCCCACCACATGTCTCTTAAAACGTTTGTCAGTATTTGTTGCTTCAGGAGGATAGTGCTGTATCAGATGGGGGCAGGTCACAGGCTGGTAAAATGATCACTAACAGCAGCGTCCTTATCTCCTGGGACTCCCTGTTTTTGCTTCATTTTTCCAGCCTCTTCTGCCCCTGGAAGTCTGAAGTGGGGAAGGGCTGTGGCTTTCCACCCACTGAAGGCTGTGGGACTGATCTCCCTGGGGTGTGATGCCATGTACCTCAGTCAGAAGTGCAAGCTGTGCTGCTTCTTCAGCAGGATGGCTTACTTTGGGCTTGCTGTAGACTCAGATTTTGGCACTGCTTTGGACCAAATCCCATTTTACCAACCTCTCTGGCTGTACATTGGGTCATCTCAGAGTGTCACTTTTTTCCATGTTGAGTATCTTCAGAATTTTTAAATTTTGCTAGAATCCTGCTGAGGTTTTACAGTGGGATTTTAAAAGGAACACAAGAGTGGGAGCACCCAAATTCCACCAAAACTCAAGGTATTAAGTACTGAGCACCTTCAAATGCATTAAGTTTTATCCTGCTGAGAAAGAATAATGGGTTCCTGTTGGCATTACTATCACAAAGCCTTTGTGTAGGAATTAAAAGGTATGCAGTGAAAACCATCACACATGCCTGTAAATGCTGGCCGTTTTCTCTCTGAATTAAACAATGATGTTTGTTTATATTAGAAGGAAAAGCTATGACCTTTGTACTGAAGTTGTAATTATGTCTGCAAACTAAGATTCTTGCTACACCATTTTCTGACACTGATGGTTTCACTCTGTTGACATCACCACAGTTGCCCTCAGCAGCCTGAATTTCACCCATGGGTCTGAAAAGTATGGGAACAAATAGGTATGCAAAGATGAATAAATATTAAAGTATTGCTAGAGGCAGCTGATTTCTGAATGGGTCACTAGAGAGTTTATTACTAATGTTCTTTCTCAGTTGTCAGATGATGCCCTACAAAAGGTGAATTTTATGTTATTGCATAAAAGCAATTTCATGTGCAATTCAACTAATGTTTTAGAGCGCACTACTCACCTCTGCTTCCCTTCCTAAAACGAGTGGCTTTATGTAGGTTCTTAAAGTAAGATATGGATGTGTTTTGCTAGAGTTGACTGTTCCTTTAAAATGGACTTTCAGTGGTATGAACCTAAAAAGCTCAGTATGTTCTTATGGGTAATTCAGCTGGATGCAACATTCTCTACCCCAGAGCAATAAGAAGTGTTTGAATTCAAATACATTTTTGTCAAGTGGTAGAAACTCCTAGAAATGCAGTTGTTGAGCATTGCTGTGCCTGAACAGAAGTATAGCTAGGCCTCACATAAGGAATTAGAGTTCTTGAGATTGTCAGGCAAAAAAAAAACTCTCCAGTCTTATGTTATTTACAGAATATTTGAGTTGTTTTTTTTTGTTATGATAATAATTTTCTGCTTTTTGTTTTCCACAAAATGAAATTTTCTGCTTTTACTGGAATTCTGGCATTACTCTGGTAAAATAAGTTGATTTATGAGAGAAGAGGGTTTTAATTTAGTTGTGAAAAGGCTTGTTTTTATTAATGGCCCAGTAACTAAAATGTGTGATGAGTTAGATCATGCATGCATTATATTTTTTTGCATTCTATCATGTTCTGAATCCATCTTTACTTGAGGGGCTGTAAAAGTTCCCTTGGATTTTTTGGACTTGAAAAGGGATCCACAGCAGGAATGTGAAAACAGAGCATGCCTTTAGTAAGGAATTTTTGTGTGTTAAAGAAAATAATTTATCCAGTGTTGGGTGTTCAGCCCTGAACAAGGCTTCCCCATCTTCTCTAACTTGACAAATGGGAATGCAAAAAGTACTTTAAACTTTCTTTGCAGGTCAGCGTCTGTACTTCTTGGAGTAAGACTCTTCTTGCATAATCTTTAATATTTCTGAGTGAGTTTTTGGTTGGTTTTGCACAATATGCAATAAGAGTACAGGCCTCTGCAGTGAGGCCAGAGAATATGATAAACTACAGCCCAAGTTCTGAATAGCTGTGGAATTGGGGATTTTATGTCTTGCACAGAAAACCGGTGCTCTACTAGCTGTAAAACCAAGTGTCAGTAAAGAAGGGTGTGGAGAGCAGAAGTTTTTTGTGATGGCTTGGCTTTGGTTTGGGTTGCTTTGTTTTTTGAAGGAGGCTCAAAAGAAGATGGATTTGTTGCAAAGTAGTAAAGTCTGTGGGAGTTCAGCTGTTACTTTGGGGTGGTGGTGGGTGCCTGCTGCTGTCCCAGGGTCATACGAGGGAGCCCTGCAGCCTTCCAGGACTGGGCTAAATCCTGTTAGTGCCATCACAGGCATTGGTGTGATCAGTGGTCATGCCAGGAGGGCTCACACCCACGTGGGGGTGGGTGTTAGAAGTCTGGGAGCTGCATAAACATGGAGGAGTTATTTTGTTTGAAAGACGGGTGACATTGACTCCAACTCCGTGGTGGGGTAGCTGGGAAATCTGAAGTGGCTGTTGGCCGTGTCAGAGGTGGGGAAAACTCCAGTTGTCTCTGCCAAGCTGACCTAGGGACAAAATGGTATCTCTTAAATGCCAGATGGGGCCATGTTTCCTCTGGTGTGTTTGTAGGATGCATCACCTTGCATCTCAGATCACTGTGCAGCTGGAAGCCCCCTCCAATACCTTGTCTCCTGGCTGGCAGTGCGATGACTGGGAGGTGTCTTTTAGTGACCTCGACTGTGGAGTGGCTCAGCTTCGTGATGACTCTTCTCTTGGAGTGAGCAGAGCATTTAGAAGAGAGTTTGGGTGTGCATATGGCTGAGATCCTGCAGGCCTGCTGTGACTCAGCCAGGGCTGCAGCAGCGTTTGCTGGAAGTGCAGAGGAGCATGTGTGGGAGATGTGCGAGCTGCTCCCAGCTGGTCTGGCAGAGAGATCAGCCCTGAGTGCAGTTTTGCAGTGTATCTGCAGGAGCCTGGGGAGAGGAAACCACAGCTCCCTGCCAAGCACAGGAGAGAAGAGGATTCTGCTTTTGCCAGTAAATCCCAGTGCTGATTCCTCATTCTGCACTTTCTGTGTCCCTGGGTTTTGTGGTTAATTAGAAATCCTCCTGGCTTCTTGCCATGCCTTTTCACTCTCTTATCCAGCCTGTCTCTGGACTACTGATTACTGACGCCGGTCCAGGCTCTCTGATCTAGGGGGAAAGTGTTATGGTCAGGCTGGGAAGATGTGTGCTCCAACCCAGATAGTCTGGAGTGCTTGCAGACTGTGTTGGAGTCAGGGGGCTGAGGGGATGGCTAGTTCCTAAAACAGGGAAGCCCAGTGGGCTAGAGCCTCAATAAAGTGCAACTCTCCTGGGAGAGAGAGCCTGAGGCTTCTCGGTTCAAGAAGGATAACACAGGATCAGGCCACAGGCCTGACTGTCTGTCCTGGATTCTCAGCCATGGATTTGTCAGGTCTCCATTTCTGAATCTAAGTCTGGTACACAGTCAGCTCCCTCCTTGTATTTGTTTTGGCTTCAGTGTTGCGTGCTGGTGACCTGGTGCTGTGGGTTTTCCTTTGCACTTCCTGTGCTTATATGCTGGTGACAGCAGACCTCTGCCTGTGGCTGCAGTCACTACTGCCTGCAGCTTCTGTTACAGGGTCCAAAAGGCTGTTCATAGCATATCCTGAGCATGTGGACAAGTGCTTCTGCTGTGCTGGCAGCAGAAATGCCTTTTTTTGTTGTACCTTATCTCTCAGGCTTCCACATGAACTAGTGAGCTGGTTAGTTAGAGACTGGCTGCAGCCCTCAGGAAGCCCTGAAAAATAATGAAGGAACCTGTAGGATGGAGGTACACTGTGGGGCTTAGGAAGCAGTGGAGCTGAAGTTCTGAAAACATGCATGTCAGCCAGAGGTGGGGCCTGTTGGCTGGATCCCTTTGCCTTCCCTTGGTGGGTCCTCTCTCCTCCTGAGGCACCTCTGAAATAGTGCTTGCCACAGATGGCTCCCAGGGCCTCCTCTCTGGGCAGCCTGTGTGAGGATCCGGGGAGAGTCCTTGTGTGGGCAGAGTGTGGGGTGTTCTGAACTTGGGTGAAGAGGAGGGGATTTTTCCTGGGAGGTTTTGCAGTTTTGGCTGCTGGGGAAGATTGGTGTGACTCTTTTCTCTGTCTTTCTAGTCTCGTATCGCAAAGCGAGGAAGGAAGCTTGTGGATTACGACAGTGCCAGACACCACTTTGAAGCCCTGCAAACTGCAAAGAAGAAGGATGAAACCAAAATCGCAAAGGTAAAGCAATCAGGAGGATTTGTAGCCTTCCTTTCTTTTTGGGAGGTCTACATTTGCCGACTGAGCAGCTTTTAAGTTCACCTGTACCTCTTCATTGTGTTTTCAAAGAATTCACTCATATTGGAAAGGACCTTTAAGATCATTGAGGTACTGTGAACTGGTGTGGTTTTGCTAGGTATTTCCTTCCATTTGTTTAGTTTTCCTGGAAGGCAGGATGGCCTCTGTTGGGTTGGTTCAGACTCACCATCATCAGTCTGCATGTCTTGGCCAAATGCTTGGGCATGGGTTTTACCACATGCACAGAAGAAAAGTCTCTGTGCCCCTTGGGGAAGAAAAATCTTGCAGCACTCCAGAAAAATGTTACAGTTGGTCCGCTTCTTGGGGCTCTATCTCCCCATTCTAAAGCAGTGGTAAGAATGTTTGAGTGTTGCTTGAGGTTGGTTGTGTTTGTGAAGTCCTCTGATATCCTAGGAGAGAGACCCTTAGGAGTGTGAGTGACAAGTACATTGATGGAAATGCACCCTATGCACACTTGATGAATGTATTCTGTTGTCTGTTGGTCGCAATTACTGGATAATAAACATGGTTAAAAGCAGAAAAATAAGTTTTCTCTTGTCAGGTTTCTTTCCTGCCTGTGATAGCTTGATCCAGGGTTTGCCCAATATTTAAGTGAAGGATTTTATTTTTAATGAGATTTACTTTAATTAAAAATAAAGTTTACATTTTTTAATGTAGCAGAAGAAAGATAATTGTGCTAATTTTGTTCTAGAGTAGGTGCATGAATTGAATACTGCCCCTAAAATGAGTTAGGGATTCCTCTTGTACTCTAAATGTATTTGAACCCGTGTGCTTCCCTTCACAGGACACTTCTTGACACAACAGAATAGTCCAGGTCTGGGGAGACATCTTTAATTCTCTTCAATGTGGGCCATGGTAAATTGTGACTCTTCAGGGTAGAAGCAGTACAGGAAAGAAAGACCCTGGATCTGTATCTTTTAACCAGGCTGACAAGAGTTGTCATCCTTTGCTTAGGGTTATTTTGGTATGGGGGAATAGGAGCTGTGTAAGAGATCCTGGTGTTTTTCCTGCATAGAAGAAATTAAGATACATCTCTACCCCGAGTGAAACATGTGCGTTTAGTGGCCACAGTACTTTTATTGTTAAGCTGCAAGTCATCAGTGATCTACACTGCACTGCATGCACTGTGATTAACCTTGACAGACAAAAGGGAAGAGAGATTGATGGCCCAAGTGTCATTGCATCACTTGTGTGGCAAAGCAAGTCTTGATTCTGTATGCAAGGCATGAGGCCCAGCTGGTTGTGCCTTCAGTTCAAAGCAGTAATTCATTGTGTTTGGGGTAAGAGCAGAATTTCCCTGGGGCATGTTATTTTATTGGTGCATGCCAGTGGGATCTTTGCTGCAGTGGAGACAAGTTTTCCTAGGAATTGATTTACTCAGGCTGGTTCCTGGTGCTCTGTAGCAGAGGTTTGCTCCCTTTATCACTGCTGCACTCACTGTTGCCCCAAATGCTCATCTAAGATGATACAACAGGTATATAAAACAATACAGTTTGAAGAGTGAAATATTGAGTTATGAGTTGGTGCTCTATTCATGATGTAGCTTGTGAAGGGGTCTCTCAACACCTGATCAAACTCTTCTCGTTAGCCAAAACGTGCACTGGATGAGATCCTTCCAGCCTCTGTAATTTAGGCCCTAAGCTCATGCACAGGATAATACGTGACACATTGCACTGTCCTGCTCCTGCAAAGACGGGAGCAACAAGTCCCAGGGAGTTATGTATGTGTGGCCTTCCCAAGTGGGCAGTTTCCACTGTCCAGCCTGTGATCTGGCATTTGCAGGCACGCAGCTCTGCAGGGCTGTGGGCAGCAGCTGGGGCTCAGCGTGCACTCAGCTGCTGTAGGAAGTTCACCTCTCTGTTTCTACGCCTGGAGTTTTGCTCTTGTGACCTTTGAATTAGGATTGTTCCAGTGTAAGTTACTTTGGAATGTGATGACAGACCCCTATGAAAGAGAAATCATGTTTCTGATACAGGATACAAGTGGGAACTGCCTTGATTAAGGTTTCATGGTATAGTAACAGAAACAGCAGTGCAAATACTTTTTGGCACTGCATGGTCTCTTTATTCTTGTGTAATATATGGATGTTCTTTTCCCACCTAGGACCCCTGCCACTTATTGCTAAACTTACATTCTGCTATTAAAATAAATCACTGTGGACTTTCAGCTGTTGCATGCAAATAATTATGATGGTTAATTAATCCTGACCTCTCTTTAAGGAGCTCCAACTTCACAGCCATGCCTTGGAGTAGGGTTGTCTGTGTGCTAGGTCACTAACAACTGTATCTGTTGCTCTTACAGCTGCCTGGCTGGTCTGCAGTATCCAGCCCACATGGGAACATTAATTACTGCTAAACTTGGCATGCTTCAAAGGATTCATAACTGATCAGTCCCAGGATGTTTGTTTTTTTCTCTCGCCTTGGTGATACTGGTTTGACCCAGCCTCTAAATACTCTCTGTTGTGATTTTAATTTTTTTATCCTAAAAGATATATGTTTGTGTCTCTCTTGTTCTCTGTTTATTTTTTTTTTCTTTTTTTTTCCCACTCAAACATGCTCCCTCCCCCAGCCTGTTTCGCTGCTTGAGAAAGCTGCGCCTCAGTGGTGTCAAGGGAAGCTACAAGCTCACCTCGTTGCACAAACTAATCTGCTCCGAAATCAGGTGACTGCTGATCTACCTGGCTCTAACCCTGCATGCGCTATTCTGGGCTCTAGATTGTACCATGCAAGTAATCTCTAGGCAACGTTCACTCTAGTCCTCTCTGATAAGTGTGTCCTTGACACTCCTTAGCCACGGTGGGCACCTGGAAGTTGCTGCCCAGTGAATGAATCTGTGCCTGCCCGATTGATTTCTAGTCAGGTGTGTCAATACTGGACTGTTGTTTTCTCCCCCTGAAATGAAATGTAGATGAAGAAAGGCTGTGGAATAACTCCAAGGCAGAGGGTGATGTAGTACACAGTTTCTCCAATTAGTGCTTCCATTTTGCTCTAAGAGAAGCAGTCAATTTTTATTGTTGCTGTTTTGAAAAAAAAAAGAAAAAGAGGAAATGCTGAAAAATTTGCCTATGGATTCATGTCATTGAATAAAACCACAAAAAAATAACATTGAGATTTCTGTGGCTGCTGAGTTAGCTTGCAACATTCTCCTGTGGTAAAGTTCACATTTCCCAAATGAGCGCTGTCCTGGCTGTTGTGGTTTAAAAGAGACATTTTTAAATATAATTTTGGTCTGCACAGGAGAAGAGATGGGCCCAGATCAGGCAATTTGCACCCTGTGTGACATCTTTGAAAAGTTCCAAGCTGAGGTCAAGGTGCTGTCATCTGGCAGAACTTAGGTTATAGCATCTTGAGGAACATGATCGGCTCAGAGGAACTGCTGGGAATAAAAATTTCAATCCTACTTGCATAGAAGTGTGACTTTCTGATAAAATCTTGATCATTGTTTCCATTGGAACACATTAAGGGATAAGAGGGAGCTGTCAGGAGACAGTTGGTGAGAAGAAAATGCTTTCAATGAGCAAGGGATAATAAATCCTTACCCAGACTGGGAGAGCATCAGCTACCTGCTCACAAGTTCCTGGTGAGCTCATATGTTCTCATTCGAATGCTCCTATGTCTTCACATTCCTTGTCCATGGATGAATTGCAGTTTAGAAATGCCTTTCACCTTACAAAGCTCCTGGGTTTTTCACAGTTACTTTTTTACTTTGGATCAGGGAAAAGACTCCATTACCACATCAGTAAAGCTTGGGGAAAGACCAGCTGTTAGCAGCCCCGCTTAAGATGCAGAGCAAAGGGAGGAAATATGTATTCATTCTTGACTGAAGGGAGAAGGACACATGGCAGGCTGCCGGGGGCTTTCCCTGTGCCTCTGCTGGCCCAGCTGGGGACTACCTGCACACTTGTGGTTCCTGATTGGTCTGTTTGATTGGTGGTATTTCTGGAGGACTAGCAAAAAAATCACAAATATATATATATACATATAGTCTATCAGCTCTTGGGCATTTTTCCTCTTCTCAGACTTGGCTGTAGTGACTGCTATAAATGCAGCATACACAGACTGCCCAGAGAAGCAGTACCTGTGAGTGCCCTCTTAATCCATTGCCTGTGGATCTTAGGCTACCAAGAGTCCATAATTTCACTGTACTGGGTGACTTTGCCCTACAGCATGTGCAAGGGACTGTGTAATCTTTCCACCCACTGTGATGTGGGGGTGTTAATCTCCTAATACATGGCATTAATATTTTCAGTGACTACAGATATTTATTTTCAAAACAGGTCCTTTTATTCCTCAGCTAAGTAATGCTATTGCTAACCCTAATTTTTTGTTTCTATTTGTGTAAGTATTTGGGGTTTTCTTCTTTGTTTTTTTTCTTTATTTTAATTTTACTTTTGGTTGGAAACCAACAAAAAAACCATAATAAAGAACATTAGTTGTATTCTGAACCTGTAGGTTTTCCAGCTTGCCTTCACAAACATTAGTAGATAGGCAGAAATAGGCTTCAGTTTTTGTATTTGTATGATTTCAAGACTGAAAGTGTTAATGACAGCCCTAAATGTCATTAACCTCTTGATGAAACTGGGAGGGCTGATGACACTGGATTTATTGAGAAGCCTAAAATAGTCTCCTTATACCAGCAGCTGTGTTGCTGTCTCTTCTTGCCTGATAATAGCTCAATGCAAAAACGGGGTCAGTGAGATCTGATGCTTCTACTGTAAAGCAAGGTCCCTCCCTCCAGTGTGCAAACTTCTGGCTCTTTAGGCCTTTAGCAGATAATAACAAAAACAACACAGTGGGGATTTTTTGGGAAGTCTGCTGTGGGACTTGCTATTGCACACTCCTAGTTAGAAATGTCAGTGACTGTGCTTTTTGAAACAAAGAGGAAAATGGCTTAGAACAGCAAATTCTTGCTTTTGACTAAGCTCTGCTGACATGTTTAATGCAGACTGAAAGGCAACATACTTGGTGCTGCAGTGATAACAGAACAATATCTTTGTTTGTAGGAGAAAGTTAACAAGTTGAGTCCTGAGAGGCAGGTCTGGTTAGGACTGGTGGGGCTCAGGCCTAGAGGGAGTCTTCCTGTTCTCTTCCTTATCCCTGCCTCTGGGATATCTCAACTATTTACTGAGCAGTGCCTAATCACCACAGTTCACAACATAGTCTTTGAAGTGAAATAGTCAACAGACTGCCTGAAAACAACAGGCTGGACATAACCAGACACTCAGGAGGGCTGAGATGTCTGGTAGGGCAGAAACAGTGTGGAAAAATTGCCCCCTGCCACAACTGAACTGGTTGTGCTTGGCACTCCGAGCTTTGGCTAGGTGAAAGGTCAGGAAAGCATTTGTTGTCCATCTCTTGCTCAAACCTTCCCCCTTTCAGGCAGGGAGAGGAGAGAAAGATTTTTCTGAGATCATATTTCATGGGTGTGGGCATTAAGTCCTGCCTCGGTTTCCCCTCAGGGTGGCGAGGATGGCAGCTGAAACAGAAAGTGCAGATGTGGCAGTGGGCTCTTTCCTAGAACCTGTCTCTGCCTTTCCCCACCTCACTCCCTGAGCTGGCTTTTTCTCTAGAAGGGTTTGTGACCAGGCTGATGTCTGGCTTTAGCTCTGGCTGGAAGCAGTCAGGCCTATCAAGTGCCAGGATTGCAGCTTCATTCCAGCAGAATGAAATCCCAGTGGTGTGAAGATCCCTGGGCTGACTAAGGACTGAAGAATTAGTTCAATGCTCTGCCTGGGGATGAGAGCACTAGCTGAGCCACAGGCCCTGGATGGATCCCTGATTCCTACAACTACTCTGGAGTGAACGTTGCCTGTTGATTTTGCCTTTGCCTCGGGATGTCACAACATTCATTGCATAGAACTTGCTTTCTGGGTTCTTTGACCTTATAAACAGGTAAACGAGAGAGGGAAAGAATGTTAATGATATTCACCACGTCTGAAAAACTAACAGCATTCAATGATGCCTCATTTCCCAGCTTTCACATCTCCTGGGTTGATTGTGGTTCCAGTGTAGTTTGGAAGTTAGAATAAGATAAAGCCAAAGGGTGGACTTGTTGGGTTGGGTTTTTTTTTTTTACTCCCTTTACTCCCTAATGGTTGCATTAGAAACATTCATTCATAAAGGTGTTTTAAAGAACGAGTCTTTGTGATCATTGTCTGTCATTCAGCATAAACTGTGTCTCTGTTTAAAAGACGTTTTGTTTGTTTCGTGCAAACCCTCTTGAAATGTTGAGTTTTTCAGTGAGTGTAGCAGCGAAACAGGGGTTTCTGGGTGGAAGCATCATGACCCCTTCTCCCCTTGCCTGTTCCTCACCAGGTCTTAATTTTTGAGTACCTCCTGGATGTGTCTTTTTACAAGGGAAACGTTTTCCCCTGGTCTTGAGGACAGAGCCTTAGCCTTGCCTCTGGCAGCAATGAGCAACTCTTTGGCAGGTGAAGCTAGCTGGAAAGTAGGAGCTCCTGTGGTTTGCTCTTGAGTCAGGAGAGAAATGGAAAGTGAAAGGATCATTCCCTGTATAATAGAGAGTGATTCCTGTGAGGAACAGGATTCTGAACTGCAAAATATTTTTAAGTCCTTTCTCCCATCATTCCTGTCATTGTATGTAACTGTCACTAAGGAGCAGTAAGCGGGATTTCTGTAATTAAGCTGACACAAAGAAGATAAAATTTGATTTCATAGAAGGTGTAGGAATCTGACTGCAGGCTGGTAGGGAGATCCAGCTTCCATAGCTTGTGGGCTCTTTGCAGAGGCCTGTGGTGGTGTGAAATTCCTGCTGTTGTTATGTATATAGGCACTTGTGCTGACCTTCCAAGTTGCTCATGCAAAGATCTTGTCATTCTACATCCCACTACATGACAGAATGCTGTGCTGCTATAGACTACAGGATAGAAACATTTTAATTAGAAAACTTTAAGTCAGGGCACTGAAAAGAGAAAGAGGTCACCTAGGACAGATGTAGGAAAGAGCACGTGCTTGTTGCTGGTGTCTACTGCCAGCAGCAGAAATCAGGAGTGTCCTTTATGTCACTGAAACCTGACTATTCATCCATCGATGTTGGGATCTGTCAGTGTCTAGGTCCAATGAACAGGTCAAATTTAAACTCTCATCTGGGAGAAGGAGATCTGTTTTAGTGTTGGGGCCGACAGCTAGCCAGGGATTGCACTTGTGTGAGACCACTGAAATCAAGACGTGCTGCTGAAGCCCTGCAGCCTGGCCTCCCGCTGGCACAACTCATGCTTTGCATACCCTTCCTTGCTTCTCCAGTCAGCTTTGTGGGAGAGCTGTATCAGCCAAGGATGCAGACCTCCTCTCTTCCTCATAAGAGATGGGGTTTGGCATGACCTTACCTCAGCAGAGCCCCATGAGGAAGGATTCGTCTCTAATGCCATTTGGGATGGATTTCAACTCTTTCTGAGATCTGACAAGGGACAGAGGCCCCTATTATCTTCATCTGTATCCAGGCTGGAGGCTGAACTGCCTGACCAACTCCATTCAGTTTTTGAAGTCAGGGAAATTTAAAGTACTCGAAACACAGCAGTGGTTGTGAATTATTTGCTGAGTGTATAAATGGGGAAATCCATTGAGAGAGCCTGCGAGGAACACATTCAACCTGAAGGGTCACTTACGGTGCAACCCTGGTCCCTGGGAGACTCATTTGGGATACTGGTTACCTCATGGCAGAATCTTGCCTGGTCTCCCAAAGATGCCAACAGGATCACAGCTGTTCTAGCCCTTCAGGGTACTTGTCTGTGCTGAAGCTGACAATCTCCCTTCTCTGTTACTAAGGCTGAAGAAGAGTTAGTGAAGGCTCAGAAGGTGTTTGAAGAGATGAATGTTGATCTGCAGGAGGAGCTGCCTTCACTATGGAATAGGTGAGTGCTGGAAGTTTTCACAAGGGCTGGTTGGAAGGAGATGAATATTCAAGCTCTTGGATCAAAGTTCTTCTTAACCTGCACTGGGTGTCTGATCTTTTTTTGGCTGAATTGTCTCCATATGTCCCCAGACACAGGTTCACTCTTGTGCTTTACTTCATGATTTTCCTGAAAAACATGATTTTACCATAAAGAGAAACTGTATTTCTCTGCTTTGTCTGCTTAATCCCTTTTCCCTACCAACTCTGCTCAACTTTCTTGAAAGACTTGAGAGACCATGGGTTTGCCATACCAGTGATTGTGGTGATGAAAAGGGAGGTGATTTAGCTTGGGGGATTAACTGTAGGGCAGCAGAAGCTGATTTATGGAGGCAACACAGTGGAAAACTGGAAAAATCTTCCTAGTAGTGTCCCAGTTTCTTATTTTTAAATGCAGTGGTCATGTTCAGGTTGACAGTGCTGGTCTGTGAAGATTGAGAAAGTGGGCAGCAGCGGGGAGGGAAAGCAAAGTGCTGATGTCTGCCTTCACTCTCCTTTCCACCCAGACTGAGTCAGGACTCCTTTCTCACAGCAGCCTGCAGGCCTGGCTGGGGAAGGAGCTGGGAGGGACAGGCATCTGGGTGGTTCCCTGTGCAGAGCTATGACGCTGCTGGCCTTGGACAGCCCCTCCCTGCTGCTCGTAGAGCACTCTCTGTTGGCAGCTGGCAGGCTGGTGACAGGCAGCTGTTGGGATTTTAAGGTGCCACAGGTTTTTCACAGGCTCTTGCTATCCAGCTGATCCTTCTGCTTCCTTGCTGCTCTCTGTGCTATCCTTTGCTTTCTTACTCTTTCTGTTCCTGAAGCAAACAGTTCATGCTTTTGCTTCCCTGGTGTTAAGGGACTTCTGGATGAATTAATACCTATCCCCCTGCTAATTCCCCCAGCTGTTCCAGCACTGTCTGCATCACAGCCTCTATCATTTTTTCTTCCCATCTTCCTACTGCTGGTGATTTTTATTTTTACCTTCTTTTGTATTTTTTCTTTCTTTTTTTCCTCCCCTCCCTATACTTCCCTCTCCCTTTAGCCTGCATAAATTCAGATCCTGTCCTATTTGGTCTCCTCTTCCCCTAGGACATGTTTGTCCTGTGTCCAGCCTTTGCTCCATTATTGCATTTCCTTGCCACCATCTCTTCTCAGATGTACCATACCTGACAGAATATAATTGAGTTTGCATGGGAATGGTGGGTGGGAGGTAGCAGAAGGGGCAGGATTGAAAGGTTTTGAGAGACCATTATGTCCATTAAATTCTTCTGTCTTGTTTTTCATTTGGCAGTCGTGTTGGTTTCTATGTCAACACATTCCAGAGTATAGCTGGCCTAGAAGAGAACTTCCATAAAGAAATGAGCAAGGTAAGGCAACTAACAGCTTATCCTACTTACCATCTCTTCACTGTTAATAAAAGAAAAACAAAACCCCAGATCCAGCAAACAAACAAAACTCAAACAAATAAAAACAAAGAAAAAACAAACAAACAATCCCAAACAAACAAAAAACCCCCAAAACCTCAAGCTAAAAAAACAACTGGAGAAAATGGCCCTATGTTGGAGCATAATTTCTTTCTCTCCACTTGGGACAAAAGCAGTCTGACATAGGAAATGTAAAGGGATGGAGCACGGGGAAGAGACCACAGGGCCATGGGAAGCAGTGGGGAGTTCATGTCACTTGACAGCACTTGTTTGTAGGTCCACAGAGGAAAGGGAAGCCATTCTCAGATCTATCTCTTGCTGCCTTTCTTAGTTCATGTATATTATGGATCTGTAACCTACAACCTGGTCAGGCTAAACATGGTATCTGTTTTCCTCCCCCTCTGTTGCCAGTTGCTGTGTTACCCTCATTGTACCCAGGTGTGGGGTTAAAACCAGCAGGGAGCTTGACTTCAGCAAGTCAGCTGAAGATTGAGACATGCCTCACTCCAGTCCTTCAAAAAGGCTCTCCCCGCCCTGTACCTCTCTGCTTTGGCTTGTTTCCTGCCCTGTGACCCAAAAGAAGGCATTTAAGTACTTAGCATGGGCCTTATATGGGCTACCAGTGTGCCTTGATTTGGGATCCACAACAGAAGGAAGTGTTGGCAAGACAAATCCTGGGGCTGTGTGGCAGCTCCCAGAGGAGACCTCAGGACCAGTGTGTGGGGAAGTCCCCCATCGCCTCTGTCATTTATAAATATGTTCTTGTTTCTTTCAGTTAAGAGCCAGAGAAATCCTGAGTTCCTTAGGTCTGTATGCTGCTTGAAAATGTAAATGTTGCACTAATTTTGAGGCAGGACTGAGAGTCCAGCTGGAAAGCCCTTATATTCCCTCTGCTCCTTAATGTCATCCTGACAACAAAACAGCCACTAAGCAACAGGAAACATTATAGTCCTTCAATTCCCAGCAGTCAGAGGCCCTCTGCCTTGGAGTAACACATCAATTTTGAGCCCTGCTGACATTTTATGGGGTCTTTTCCAGTTAACAGCCTGCTCTTCTCCACGGAGGGATGAACTGTTAAGAATAGGGAGGATTGTTATAATTTTTACACTAGTTTGTTGCTGTTAACTTACATTCAACAAAACATAGGAAAGAAGCTTGTTAGACAGGAATTTTCTTCTATGATTTTTCTTGTCAGGATTTTTTCTTTCTTGATGAACTTTGTATGAGGGCAGGGCTTTTGCTTTGTTCCATAAGAACCATCTGTTTCTTATCAGTGCTACAGCATCCAAATAATTGCTGGTGTTGCCTGCACAGTTCCTCCAACCTTGATTTCATGGGATCCTTCCTCCTACCAGTGATAAATCTGGCATCTTGTCTTGTTTATGGATTGGCTGTTTCAGAATAGGAGTGTCTGGAGTGACTGTGGCAGCCTTTGGTTCCAGACAGAGTTTAACCCCTAATATTGCATTTCTGCAAAGACATACAGGTTCTGCCCAAGCCTAGATGGCCCAGGCAGCTGGTGAAGTTAAGAGTTGTTCACCTGAAGGCCAGCTGCCTTTGGCTCCATAGCTGAAATGGCCATATCCCAAGCTTTGGTAAGCAGGCCTGAGAAACATCTTTTGGCTACAAATCCAGAGTGAAGTTGCAGCTGTAGCACACAGATCTTAAGTAAACAATCAACCTCCCTCTGCAGTGGTACCTGGCAGCACAGTGGTGGGCCCAGGTGATAGGGAAGTAAAGAGGATGATCCCTAAGGAAGACAGAGCATTCCCAGAGATGCCAGCAGCTCTTTGATAGCTCAGGTGCTGTAGCACTGCATACACCACAGAGAAGTGGAAACAGATTTAAGGTTGTCCTCTCTTGGGATAGCTGAGGAACTGTGCATGTCCTGCCACAAGCCTGCGTTTGGTCAGTCTGTGCAGGCCAGCCCAGGCTCTCTTCTGGCATCTGAGCTCTTTTCTCATTCTTTTTCTGTCTTCTGTTTTTGTATTTTGCAGTTGAACCAAAATCTTCATGATGTCCTGCTGGGTCTAGACAAGCAGTACTCAGGCAATGCCTTCCCTGTTAAAGCACAGCCCAGGTCAGTAACTGTGGGTAGTGTCTTTCCTTCAGCAGGGGAGGTGGGACAGGGATATCTCTACCTACCCAGGGGTATTGAAACTCCAAGTTGTCAGGTTCAAGTGATTTGCCCAGCTGCCGTTGCCCTCCTGAGACTTCCTAGAGCCATGCCCAAGATTGCACTTGGCACTGGGTGATGCAATGCAATACCTATTACCTTTCTAGGATAGCATCTGGAGGCCTAAACTTTCACTAGGTGCTGATATTTAGGCAACTGACCCTCAGCTCTGCTTTTAAAGTCTAATTCCAGCTACTGAGCTGCCCTTCCTTCTGGGTCCAGTTGCCCAACACCTGTCCTGTTCTTTCCCTCAAAAGCTCCCACTATGTACCTGCAGCTTCTCAGCTTGAGCACCAAGAGCCCATTTCCCCAGCCTCTGCTTTGGCCCTCCAAACTTGGAATCTCCATTTTGCTAAAGTCATATGCCCATCCTGTGTACCCAGCAGAATTGTATTTCTCCTTCCTGTGTGTTGTGGAAGTAGTTGCAGCATCAGTAATACGAGGCCTCCTGAACTCAGAGCACTTTCAATCCATGTGTGTGCGAGGAGTGAGTGTCCTCTAGGCCTTCAGTTTTCCTTCCTCAGCTGTGGACACAGGGTCCTGTCCTGTGTGTTTAAGTGCAAGTTTGCACATTCCCTAGCACTGAGAAGGAAGGGAGAGGTTGAGCTCTGGATTAGGCTGACTGGCCCCCATCCAAGTGCACAAGCGATGAAATAGTGTTGGGGTCTGTCTTCCAGCTGCTGCTAATTCCACATGCTGGGTGAGCAGGAGCACAGCCCAGGTCCTGAGCTGGTGTGTTGATGGAGGGAGGTGATGAAGTCAGCATGAAGTAAGGGCTAGCTGTGGTCTGTGTGAGTTGGTTTAGAAGGGGTAGATCAGCTGAAACCTCTGTGCTGCTTATGTCTCCTCCTGGTTTAACCTGTTGCAGTCACGCACAGATAACTTGCATGTCTTCTCCCAGCAATTCTGGGAGAAACACACTGGAAGCAAGGGGGTGTTTGCCAACTCCAAAGAAAGAGAAAGTTTGACTTGAATTTGGCCCCTGAATTCTGGATTGCTCACAGCAGATTTTAGTGATGCTAGTTGGAATGCTACTTGTGAAAATAATGTCTTCTTTCCAAGTTAGCATCACAACCCACCCAGACTGGAGCCTTGTGAGGAGCCTGTGGTGCCCATTCTCTTGCTGCCATGGGCTGTGTCGTCTCTGTCAGCAGCATCCTCCAGGGTCCTTGGAGGAAGATGAAGTAACAGGATAGATGAAGGCTGTAGCTACTGCTTTGCCCAGCTCCTTCTTCCTCCTTTTCCTATTCCTTGAAGAACTGATTGTAGGCAGTAGTGGCAACCTGTCCCAGAGATGTTCATTGCTGTTGTGGCAGAAAGTTTCTGGCCTTAAAGAGCTTTCAATGGACAAATTACCTGTTTTTACAATTCCTGCCCCATCTCTGTACAATTTCTGTCCCTCCTCCCCAAACTGCTAGCTTCCTCTGGAGCTGTAACGAGTGTGTCTCAGCTGCAGTTCTGTGCCCTTTGCCTGGCTAGGAGACCACGTGGCCCTAAAACCCAAGCTGAGTGCATGCACAGAGGTCCCTGTGTGGGCAGCAGTCTGAGTGCTGCTGCTTCATCACCTACTCGCTGCATCTCAGCTGAGATGTCAGACCTCTCCCAGAGCGACTCTCTTCCTCCTGAGCACAGTGGAGCAGGGTGCTGGAGGAGGAGATAGCAAAGACTTGCCAGGGTAGTTTTGCAGTGACCAGGAAATGCTGTGAGGCGCTTCTGTGTCTGCTGCACATCTGGCCTCTCATTGTGGTGCAGGGCTGGGGTGAGAGTGTGCAGGAGGAAATAGCCCTCACTCATCTGATGGCTTATTGTGGTCTGCAGTAGGAGCAGATGCTTCCCTAACCATTTTCTACTGGGAAGGGGATTGGAAATTGATACAATGGCAGGAAGTGAATGAGGAGGTGTGAGAAGAGAGACAATTATCTGTGCACATCGTTAAGGCATTCATGTGAGGCCCTACAGAAATACTACTGTGGCTGATGTATCTGGTGCTGGCAGTGTAGCACAGTAGCAGAGAACAGCTGGTGTATTTCTGGGAACCTCAGGCATATGTTTGGGATTTGCTTCTCAAAGAGTTTGAATGTTCAGGGCTCAGATGTCTCGAAGACTGGGGAGATCTGTGGGATTATCCTAGTATGATTGGGCAAGCTGGGAAAAGACGTGGTAGGAAAGCTGGTGATTAGGTTCCATGTATAAGACTGCACAGACTGCATAAGAAAATAAGATTGGGGAGCTTGTTTCTTTTGCAGCAATATTCACAGGGGAGAGTGAGGAGCTGTGAAAGGACATTTACAGTACTCTAGCGGTTCATACAGTTTCCTTTTCCTTCTTCTCCATTTGCACCCTGGCCCCATGTTCCAAAGTGCAGGGAAAGTTCTAGTTTGCTTATATATATATATCTTTAACAGGCATAAAGAACCTTCTTCTACTTTCTCCAAACCTTGCCATAGCTTTCTAGTAATGAAGGAAGTGTGTATGTGTGTATTCATGGGTGTTCGTGAGAGGGGAGATCCTGGCATCTTAATTACAGTGAGTTTTGTGACACCAACTGAATGGGTACTTGGAAGTTTAACTTTTCCTCCCTGGTTTGACTGTGCTGTCCTGTAACTGAAATGATTTGCGTGCCATCCTCAACAGAAAGAAAACTAAACTGTTCGCCAGGCTGAGGAAAAAGATGAGCAGGTACCGGTATGGAGAGCAGCATTTCGATACATGTTTGATTTAGCTCCTAAGACTGGAGAGGCTGTTGCTGGACTCTAACAGCCTGGCACGTGTTAACCTTGTGGTGGGAGAGGGGTCCTTTGCATGATACCATGTGTTCGTGGCCTGCTGGGTCCTGCTGAGATCTCTCTGTGTCTGGGTAATCCCATTAACTGCTTGTGTGCCTGGTTTGAATCCTTGCTTCTTTTCCTATCTAAGAGGGCAGTGTGAAAACTCAGGCATTGTCTGTCCAGTTGTTTTTGTGTGATGGAAAATGCGGTGCTGGGTTTTCCATGGGAAATATAACTAATTTTGGTGTTTAACAGCTTCTAGTTTTATCTAGTGGGTTTATCCTTTTGAACAGGTCTGAAATGCTGCATTCTCATCCCCTGCCTGGCCAGGGAGGACCGGTAGGCAGGTCTTTCATACTCAGAAGTCCTATCCTACCTACCTGTTGCAATTGGGAGAATGATGAGGTGGGAGAAGGATACTTCTGGCTTTGCTCCTTATTTGCTGTGTTCTTGAGGATCCTCACTATCTTGCTCCCTCCATTTAAAGTTTTGTGGAGGGCTGAAGGTAAAAGGAAGCCTCTTGTCTTGTATAAAGACTAATGTCTGCATCTTGCCTTCAAAGCAGTGATGGCATTGATTAACTGGATTGCTACAATACCTGAAGTTACCATAGGTCAGGGACTCTGACAAGAACATGCTCTGGAGCAAAGTGGGAACTACTGCATAGTGGCATGGAAAATTCCTCTAATTTTTGTTTTTCTAACTTTTTGTGTTGGTACTCCCTCCATGGGATCCTTACAGGAAGAAAAAGAATAAATTATAATCAAGATGGTGTCCTGCCAGCAATAAAAGAAAGTGGTGTTGGATTGAGACCCTTGTTTTTCCTGATCTAGTTTCCTGCTGACTAGGGCAAGTCATGCAGCCCTTCTCTTTGTGTCTGCTATGCATACCTTGTATAGTGGGAGGTTGGAGAGTGAAGAGTGGTAATTTCACAAAGAAGCTGATGGGCAAATTTAGATATTTATATCTTCAAATGCAAGTTGTAAAGCAATATATTGTGTTGCTACTATTCTGAGGTTTTCTACTGTAGGAAAAGGAGAATTCACTGGAGTACTTCTCTGGTGTTGGTTGGACTGGTGTTGTATATGTTCCAGGCAGGAGGTTTAATATTTCAAATCACTGAGAGTGGATGGATTATACAGCAGAAGAAGAGCTATTAAATCTCCCCTTGGTGAGCTCTACTCATTATTATGGGCTCCTGCTCTGCCTTGGTAAAGTTCAACAGCCCCAGCAGTTAAGATGCCTGACCTGGGCTCTACTGGGAGTTTCTGCTGTCAGAGCAGATGCTGGGGTCACAGAAATGTGCAATCCCTGGTGCAGAGAAGGATGATCTGGAACTTGTTCAGTCTGATCTGCAGCAAGAGTGTACATTTGTGCCACCATATGTTTGGGTATGTAGGTTCTTTTTTCCTACTTTCTCCTACCCGCTCCTTTCAGGTTTTTTTTTTATTTCTAAAGGGTTCTCCAGCATGCTCTGGTGGTAAAAAAATTAATTACCTTTGGCTGAAAGGCTTAGTGTAAGCCTCAACTGAAATGGCAACCTTTTCTACTTTTTTAACTTGAGAACTTGGCAGGACATGACTGATCTGTTTTTACCATATTGGAAAGTAGGTTTTATCCTCCAATGTAGGATTGTTACAAGTGCAAGGGAAACTCGTCTGCAGACGTTACACTGCCCTTCCAGAACAAATGAGCATCATGGAGTATCTGGGAGCTCAGCAGCACTAAAAGAGGGTGGGGGATTTTGACTTTCCCTTCAGCTGCATTAGACACAACTCTCTTTCCAGCTCTCTGTTAGCATAAGAAAGTTGACACCCCTTTCCCTTCCTTGCCTGATATTCCTGGAATAGGCATCACTTCCCATTTGCTTTTGGGAAGGAAAAGGAGCTATGACCTTGTTGTTTTGGCTTGCTTTTACTGTGATGCTCGTGTTTGGTCAGTAGGTAGAGTCCCTACACTCTTGTTTTTTCCGGTGTTTCATGGGGCAAGCAGTTAGCTGGAGACAAGACTTTACTCTGTGTGGGCAGTGTGTGCTCCCTGGGGACATGTGAAGGACAGAGGATCCTGGTGACCATCTGACTTGACACTGGTTGCACTGGCTAAATTCAGCAAAGTTGCAAAGCAACAAGTGCAGGAATGAAGGTGCCACTCAGGGGGCTGAAAAAGGCTCAGCCAAAATTAGCACTGGTATTTTCCTAGGGGGACTGGCCAACACATCAAACAAGCTGTAAATAGTAGTGACTTAATGGAGGCTTTAGTGTGGGGCCCTCACAGCCCAATTCTTCCTCTCATCCTACAGGGACTGACTCACATGGGAGTCTTTTACCAATATATCTCCAAATTAAGTCTCTGCCAGGCACTGGAAATAAGTCACTACAAAACTGTTCCGTGGCCTTTAGAAAATAAGCCTCAACTCCTTTCTCACTGGGAGATCTGGCCTTTTCAAGTCCCTAGAAAGAAAAGTCTACCCTTGTCTTGGTAGCTCAGCTGATAGCCAGTAGTCCCAGTATCCCCAGGGTAGTCTGGGAATTTGGGAAGTCCTGGCACTCTGGATGTAGATCACTGTGTCCCCCATCTTCTCCAAAGTGCTTTCAACTCCAAGGGAGGTAACATGTCCTTTTTCCCCCCAGCTCTAGTATTAGGGTATGTTTTTTAATGTTTTCTGGTAACTCCTGTTTAGATCAGGACTTTACCTTCATCCTCCAACCATGACTACTTTGAATCTGTAGCACAACTTTGTAAATTTTGCAGAATTCTTTACAGAACCCATGTATTGAAGTTATTTCTGGGAATTTCTGAGGAAGGACACTGTTCAGTCAGGCTGAAGAGCTGCAGGGGCTGGCATACGTGTTCTTTAGTCTCTCCTTCGCTTTTCCTTCTTCATGTCCCTCTTTGTCCCTTGGTGTGTGTGCCCCTGGTTGAGAGCTGCTGGCACAGAATGTCACTGGGTTTGTTGCATCATGTTGGTGTGCTGTTGGCATCAGTGTCATCAAAAATATCCAACCTGCATGTGGACCTGAGAAAAAAGTGCTTTGTGGGGAAATGTGTGTGTGGGGTATGGATATGGGGGGAGAAAGTTGGGGGAATGGGTGAAGGTGAAGTGAATGAAGAGGGAATGGGATGGGGAGCTTGAAAGCTGGAATGCTGAGCAGGGTGAGATGCTTGCTTGTAAGAGGAGGTTTGTTGAAATGCTTTGCTATCCCTTCTTCCTCTTGCCATCCCCCACTCACAAACAAATGTTTAGAAATGAGGCCATCATGCATGTTGGCCAGTGACCACCACAACTTGGGCATCCCAGTGTGTATGTACATGTCTGAGGCTCTGGGCTGTCTTGGGACAGAGCAAAGTAATAAATTACTTGGTCTCCCTGCAGAATCAGATCTGCCTTGCTTTAGTGCTGGCTCTATGCCAGGATTTAGTGTCTCAAGTTGTAGGACAGGATATGTTTCTTTCAGCTTCTCTCAAGGCCTTGAATTTCACAGGAACTGTGACTTTATAAGTAGAGTCAAAAATCACTCCCTGTAGATGAGGTTGCACAGCCCTTCTGCAATGTGCTGTGATATATTTTCATCTGTGTATGGTTTTGCCAAACTGTAACCACTTCTGCTAAAATATCCCCCAGCAGTGAATTTTCCCTGTTGAAATTCTCTGGTAACCAACTTTTTAGTAAATCCCTCATGATTCTGTGTTTTGAAGCAGAGACTTGACTCCCAGCCAGGGCACGCCTGTAGGGAAAGGCATGTGCCTCTTGCCATTCCTTTGAAAAATCTGCCCAAATCTGTCCAAGCTGTGAACCAACAAATGCCACTGGCATATGCTACTTGCATCTTAATTCCCTGAAGAATCCCTCTTGACTGTGTCTCAGAAACAGTCTTGGAATAAAGACCAACTAGGGAGACCTTTCATAATAGAGAAATGTCTATTAGTAGCCAGTACCTCGCTGTTCCTTTGCTGTCTGGAATGATCTGTGAAACCTCTGGCTACTTTGCCTCTCTACTAGCTTAGTCAGTTCATACCACATCAAGGAATAAGATATTCTGTGATTACAGATTTAGTTCAGGTGTTGTGAATCTATTAGTCATAACCCATGCAAATGTCCATAGACCACCACATAGAAAAATTCTAATCTGTGGAATTTAAAACTAAATGAGCAGCACTGAACTCCTTTCCTCATCTGCTTCCCCAGTATTAAAGACTATAACTTAATGTCAGGCACTTATATATTTTAATGTAAGCAAAATTAAGGATGCCTGGTTGTTTTGTTTTTGTTTTTCTGTGTTTGAGGCAAGTATATCCATTCTGTAGGCATTGAGTGAGTAGCCTGCTGCAAAATAATGCTGCTGCAGTGTGTTGGACTGCGAGTGACTCAGCGAAGATGCTTCTCAGAAGCTCCAAATGTCTTCATTGCGTATCTGAGCAGTGAAGCAAAGAGAAAATGGAGGCCACTGATCTGTGCTGGTTAGCGCAACTCCTCCTAGGCCTGGCTCAGACTTCTCTCTCTTTTTCTTTCCCCCTCTCTCCCCCTCTCTCCCTCTTTCTCTCTCCACTTCCTTCAGTGACAGCACCCCAGCGAAAGCAAATAAAAGCCCTTCACCTCCACCAGATGGATCTCCCATCACCAGCCCTGAGGCCAAGACTGTCAACCATGAGCTGGAAGCATCCACTTTGGAAGCACCTGGGGCAAGCATCCCAAAGTCACCGTCTCAGGTAGTGTCCCCATGATGTTGACCATGTCTCTGCCAATGGCACAAGCTCTGTGAGTCAAAATCAGGTTTTTTTTTTAGCCCTTATCCTGCTACTGAGCACATGGAATATGACCTGATGGTTGTTCTCTTCCACTGGTTCCTGAGAAAGTTCCTAAGAATCCAAGTTGCTTATTTGCCGTCTTTGTATTATAAGAATTGAGTGTCTTTGAATGGCTTCACAGGGGAAGGCCAGTAATACATTTTGCTGTCTGGGAGGATGGCCAAGAAGATCCAGGGAGGATGGAGTTGTAGCTAGGCAAGGAAGTTTGTTCTTTACATTTTAATTAACCTGTGGAATTCAGTGGTACAGTTTCTTCTCAAGAACTTTAGTAGTTGAGAAAGGTTAAAATAAAAACGCTTAAGATTATAAGGAGAATATCTGTACTTTGGATGATGTTTCACTTTACTATCAAGATATAGAATATTATGCTAAAAAAAAAACCCAGAAGGATTATATTTTTTATGCTATGAAGAAATTAGGTGGGTTTCAGGAAGAAGATAGGCCATTGTATGGAGTCTGATACCTTCCTGATGGCCTTCATTAGGCCTTTCCTTACTTAGGAAATATCCAGCAGTATGTGCAAAAAAGTAGATATAGCTACTTGGCACAGCATATCATGTATGTCTTGCTTTGGGAAGATAAAACATTTATTTCATTTTCTTGTCCCTCTGTTGCTGAATGGAGGAAAAGCTTAGTAAGGAAAAGTAGTAACTAGGCCAAATTTACATTGGGTTCCAATCCTTGTATCTCAGTAAGTGGGAAACTTAATCTTCCAGGAAGGATTGAAGCTAAGAGGGGTTCTGGCCAAACTGGTAAGAAAACCCACTGCTTCTGGAAAGAGATGGGTGCAACCCAGAACTTCCTTGCTGTTCCCACGCACGGCCGTGTGATTCCAAATCCAAGCCTGTGGGGTAGCTTTTCTCCTGTTTCTGGACAGCATCTCACGATATTTTTATCTCCACTGCATTTTTGATTTTTAGGATTTTTGAGGGACAGGAAGGGGATGTGTAAAAGAAAAAAATTTCTTTTACAGCCCTGTGAGATGTGTGGATGCCTGGCAGTGTCTTTTCAGGACTTCTCCAGGGTCTCTGAACAGCTCAGCAGTGCAGAGCCTAACCATGGCTTTACCACCAACCTGGTTAGGACCTTTGGAGTAGGCTGTGTGTATGGAGAGAGAAGATAGGATATCCAGAATTATCCTTCTTTTGCAGGTTTCTTTTTTTTTTTTTTTTTTGTTTTTTTTCCCCCTCAGAGATTTCCAAAACTTGACTAAAATTTGGAACAAGAAATCATAGAGATTTATTAAGCTGTTCACAACAGACTTCACTCACCCTGCCTGTGGACTCGTCTTGCTGAATTTGGACTCTTCCCTTTCCTTTAAATAGCACACAAAACCCTTGTTTTTGCCAGCCTGCAAGTGCTTTCTCCCTCGCTTGCTGCCTGCCTGCCCGCAGGAATGGGCCAGAGGCACCCCTGGAGGAGCAAGCAGGAGATTCCAGCACAGCCCTGGCTTGGATGGGCCACAGGCAAGACTGAAATGACATTTGCAGCAAATGCTGCCACCGCCTGGCAGCTTCACTGCTTAATTCATCCCCCGGGCGTCACTGCGGTGAACAGCAAGAGCTCCGCTCCACATTCGCAGTAGCTGCTCAGAGGTGGAGCTGGCTCCAGAGGCAGGGAAGACAAAGGCAGGAGTTTCACACTCGGAGCCAGCCTGGTGTCTGTATGGATAAAATCTAGAAACCAAGTGTATGTCAGCTTGCCAGGCAGCTGGGAACACAAGTGTCTGCTCTCTCAGCAGTGCCTGACTTTCACACTGAAACCTTCACAGGTGTCGCTACTCTTGACCTTTGGGTAAGTGATTTATTCAGGGGTCCTCCAAGGGAGGCTGAGGGGCCTCACCCTCTTTGGGAGGATGGAGCATAAAGCAACAAGCAAGAACAATTCTCTGGACTCTTTGCATCTGAAATACCAATGCAGAGCGTAAGCCAAGGCTGTGGAGAGAAAGGCAAGACCAGGAGTGATCAAATAAGGGCTAACTAAAATTTTGAACTGTTCCCTATACAACCCAAAAAAATCCCAAGCTTTTTTACTGTAATTTAATTGTTAAAAACAGTTTATTTCTGTCTTTTGGAAGAAGTGAATGCTCTCAGCTCTCCACAGAATAATTTGATGATGACACAAGACTTCAGGGGGTCTGTGAAACTTAAAAGGTCAGACTTCTGCTCTCAGTTACACCACTGAAACTCTGTAATGAGACTTTAGAAATCAGTGCAACTGTGCTGAATTTGGGCAGATAAAGCTCTGTGAGATCCAAGTCAGCAGAAGAATTTTAGAGGATTTGTTTTATTCTAGGCAAGAAAGCTGTTAGTGCATGATGAATTTATGGGTATAACCCAACAACAATATGCAATTATCTTGTCTTTGAAATGTGGTTTTAGACTGCTGTTGGAAGTAATGCTGGATAGTGTGGAAGTGGGAGTTTCCAAGACACTATTGCGTTGGAATGAAGGACACTGACTGTCTATATTAGAGGAATAAATAGTAGAAGAATTGTGATATTTTTGACTTGAGAGTTAGTAATTGGAGCCTTCCATTTCTGCAGAGGGTGGTTCTGTTCTAAGAACAGCATTTCCCTGAAATTTCTGGTCCCATCTTGCAACTGGTAGGCAGGGGGTTTTCAGGAAGGGATTGTTCTCAGGGGATATGGACATACCACCTTCTACAAACAATGAAAAGTTGGAAGTGAACACACTTGCTTTAATTATTTCTCCTAGCTAGCTATTCAGGGGGGAAAAAAAGTGTGTTTTCATACACAATCACTCTCTCTAAAGTAGGTTAATCCAGTAGAAAATTGGGCATGTCCTTAGAAATCAGAATAAAGGCTTTGTAGACTCAGTTATGTGCTGGAGGAGTGTGAAGACAGGCCTAGGAGTAATGGATTTCTGTGTTTCAGATCTGGGCTTGACACTGATACACTGGGTGCAGATTGTCAGGTCTCCGAGTCTTGCTGCCTTGAATGCAGTGAGAAGATCAAGTAGCTGGAAAACTTCATTGTAAATGGAAGGCATTGTCATTGCTGAGCATTGCTGTGGTGCTGGGGACTTGTATGGCTGATTTTTTCCAGCACAGCAGCAGCTTCTCAAAGTCTGATATGATCTAGAAATGATCATTAAGCCTTGTTTGCAGCAAAATCTGAAAAGTATGTGGATGGGTTGGTCTAGGCAGGGTTTACCCCAACTTCCATGGGGTTGTGGATGCAGTGTCAGGCTGAATCTTTAGCATGAAGAGGAGTATTAGAATGGGTTAGAGTTACAGAGTGAGGTGGCTTTATGTATTCACTGAGATCTCCGTTTGGGAAACATGACTTCATTACTGTCAGTGCTCACTGGTGAAACGGAGAGCAGAGTTGGACTCACAGCAGTCATGGCTTCTCAGGAGTTTGAGTTGTTCTTGCCTAAAGCCGAGATGCCATCAAGAGCTCCTGTAGGCCTTTCTTACAGCACACTGAAAACCAGTGCACCAGGGAGCCAGTACTGGGCAGATCAGTCTGTCCTCATGGCCACCTGCCCATTGTAGGACAAATGGAGTCTGTTCTCTCACCCCCTCAGGTATGGTAAGTACGGAAAAGGGAGGCAGTGCTGGCCTGTTCTGTTGGATCATGTTCTCAGTAATTGATCTGCTCCCTTCCCAGTGGTTCTTTGGAAGGTTGCACATGCTTTAATTATGTATGCATGTCCTGTCAATGCATATTAATTGTGTTACGCTTCTCCTCTGCAGAGGGAAACTTGCCCGTGGCTGAAGTGTAACTAATGATGCCAAACCTTCTCTGGAGGCGTGTGGTTATTTATCTTGTTTTGTTTCAGTTCAGCCCTTCACCCCTTCCCCTCTCTCTTCAGATGGAGTTGATTGGACCCTGCTCTGTGCCAGTGGTTGTGATTTCCCCTCACCTTTGGTTTTTGTGACTAACCTGGTTCCTGTGTTTGGTTTTTTTGGGTGTCGCCGTCTGTGCTGTGGCCATGTGCTCACTTGCATGCAGTTGAGGAAAGGGCCTCCGGTGCCTCCGCCTCCAAAAGTCACCCCCTCCAAGGAGATCAAGCAGGAGAACATCATCAGTCTGTTTGATGACAATTTTGTCCCCGAGATAAGTGTGACAACCCCTTCGCAGGTTAGCTGCTATGCCCTGCCTAACTTTTCTCTGCCTCTGAACTCTTCCTTCGGACCTTTCTTCTCTTTGGAGGTGTTAAGCCATGAAACCTGGTCAGGTGAAGGAGGAGAGCAAGCTCAGCATCGGATCTCAGAGGGCAAAGGATTACTTAGGAGCTGACTTAAAGGGGAGAGTATACCTAAAAGGCAATAACATGTTGCCCTTTGAAACCTTTAATTTGTAGAAGAAACAGAAGAAATGTGCCTGGTCAAGATACCAGAAAGTAATCACTGCATTTGTTCAGCAGCAGTGCACGTGGATTATGACTCTCTTCATATCCTGTGGTGTGGTATGCTCTCTCCAAACCCACTGATCCTGAGTGTGGATGAAACATGTTTTTTCCTGCTCATGTGCATCCCTAACTGCTGACCTTGGCATCTCTGTCAGTTCTGGGAGAAGAGAGTTTTGCTCTCTCTGTGCCTTCATCCATAGGCTTTGTGGTTTAAAGCCTACGTCTGCACAGGAAAGGCCAAAAGGGATCACCAAAGTTCTCTCTTCAAAAAGTAGCTGATGCAGTCAGATGGGCAGGACTGTGCCTGCAGTTAAGACAGCTGACACAGTCTGCCAGTATTGTCAAGTGGCACCTTCTGAAGCCCTGGAAAAGGAAAAGCATTTTCATATTACAAATTTTTTTCTTCATTTTCCCTTTGATTTTTGCCAGAGAGGCTATCCAGGTGGGAAGTTCTCTGTTGGATCTAGGAGAATGGCAGTCCTTATATAAATATAGGAGCCTGACCAGATTTCTGGCTGTATC